AAGGAAAGAGAAAGAGACAGAAGAAGAGGGGCAAAAGGGACCCAAGGCAGCCCCCACGGTCCCCATGCCCGTGGCTGTTCTCCCCTACTCCGGCCATGCAGCCAAGTGGCAGCAGCTGGGGAAGGTTGAAGAACAGCATCGAGAGCAATGCTGTGAAAAAGAGGGGGAGGGGGGCCCACACTAAAAAGATAAAATCAAAGCAGAAATTGCTGACTCTCCAAAGCTCCCAAAGTGGTTTATTTTCTGTTTGCTGTAAAAAGAAGAGGCATTTGCTCTGAAGAGTAGGTCTGTAAGACTAAAGCAGTTAAATGGTGCCCAGAAAATAAAAAGCCATAGTTGTGATTCATCTCATGTTAAAATTGGCCTGGTCTTTCTTATTTAACTAACTGTAACTCACAGATAGCAGAATTTGCCTCTGCAGCTATTAGCACAGCTGGATATAAGATGAAGGGGCTGCTGTGGAGAAAGCTTTTAGCTAAACCCAGAAAGTTTGGAAGAAAAGTGAATGGTAAAAGTTAATGCAGTATTATCTTTCTTTTATTACTATGCTATTAAGAAGTCCTTTCCAGGTACTACTGAAGCAACAATCGGAATCATGGAAGGAGGGTGAATTCATGCCAGCAGAATCAAAGGACTTGTGAAGGAGCCTGAGGAATGGACTATCACATTTAAACCTGGTGATACTGAACTGACTTTCCAATGGGGACTGAGTGGTAATGGTTTAGGAAAACCCAAATGATCCAAGGAATGTACAAAGAATAACATCTAATTAAGAAATAAGGCAACGCTCATATCACTGTTTTCAAGCACTGCCTGAATAAAACATCTCCTTGTGGAGAGGAATATTTCAGATAGATGGATCAAGACTGCTTTTGCATTCTGACCTTAGCCTGTGAATTGTACAGGGAAGAAGGGGAATTACCATTTCCATCAGTACCCCCATGCTGTAAAGTTTGATTCATTTCGATACTGGACATGTTAGCTGGGTTATAAGTAAATGCTTGATTCATGAGAATAATTAGCATTGTAGTTCACAAAATTTATGCTTTTGTTGCAATAAGTGTTAAAGTAATAACTTAGTTTTGTGGATGGGAATTGTTAATGCCCGTTGAATGGGAGATAGCAGAGGAATGGTGGGAGACCACAGTTAAAGGGTGTCGAAAACAATTTGCCTGGAAATTAGTTAGGAGAAAGTGACAAGGAAATAGAGGGCAAGACCAGATTGGCCTCTGTATTTCACCACCGAGAAGATCAAATACACCTGCTGTGGGTTGCAGCCTCACAGGCATGGGAGGTGGGAGTATAAGACATACTGGCCCTCTGTTATTCCTGTTTTTGTCCCTCATTTGTTGTCTTTTACATTTCGGGATACCAGCAAGATCATGTCACAAATGCTACAGAAATCATCACATGGAAAGAAATCAAAGTTCCTCTTTTATTACACACACCTATGTCAACAGCCACTGTTATAACCCATCCAAATTAAGGACCTGTAGGCAAAATGGAGAAAATTATTGGATTGCAAG